CCAAAAAGTGCTCCATCCCCCTGGTTAGCTTGGTGGGGAAACAAACCCTACACCATGCCCCCCCCCCCCCCACACACACATAAAGCCTGAGACATAGCATTCCTTTGGCCTCCCCCTAGCCGGGCTTAGGAGAATGCGCAGTTAAGCAGCTCCGGAAGCTGAGAGGCATCCACCGCTCCTCACTTCCCCCGGCGCTGGGCTCGGCTTGGCTGAACTTGCCGTCCTTGTGTCAGAGGAGCTGGTTGTGTTCCTGAAGCGGATCGCACTGTGCCACCTCCCCACGGGTCCTTCGCTATTGATTTTTAACATCCTATTCAATATTGTGTATTAAATATTGAATCCATGCACGAGAGGATGTGATGCAAATCGCCAGCCGTGCCTGAGACTTTAATAGTTGTTTTATTGCCCGGAAACCACAGTTGGACGCTAGGCATCCTGCAACCGAGGCTGGGGGCGGGGACGGTAGGCCCAGAGGAGCGCTGAGCAGCCCGGCAGGAGGGTGGGGGTGGGGCAATCTGAGCCCTCGGGAATGGCCACTGCCTCAGGCTCAGCCAGGCGCCAGGCACCAGGCGGTGCTCCCGGCTGCTGGGGAGAGAGCCTGGGCCCGGGCTGTCGTGTGAGACCTGGGGAAAGGAAGAGGCGTGGGGCTGTCCGTGTCCTTCCTTCCTGGATTTCCCTAACTGGATTGTTCATTCCTGTCTGGCCATCCCTTCCCCTCCACACAGCTCTTCTCACACACACACACACACACACACACGCACACAGAGTTATTGAACAGGAAAGTGAACTTGGGGACAAGAAAGCCAAGGCCTCGGGCCTCCTCCAGCACTCAGCTCTGCCCCCTCGGTACAGACATCTCTCAACCCGGGACCCATTTCTCTCCCCTGCCGGTGGGGGTGTAATGCTGTCTGCTCTACCTCCCTCACAGCCCGGTTGCGAGGCTGGTGCAGATGAGATGATATTCAGGGAAAAGGCTTTTGTGAACTCTCAGGCCCCACGCAGGCTGAGGGATTAGTGCTGGCTTTCCCTCTGCACTCCCCTCTCCGCAGACTGTCTCCTGCGCGCCTCTCTCTCTCCCGGCCAAGAGCTCCCTCCTTCATTGTGGGCCCTTTCCTCTCCCTGGGCCACCTTCGCTTGATCTCTCAGGGTCCCCACTCTGCCGGGACTCTGCGCTGAGCCTAGGCAGTCAGGTTTGGAGGACGCCCAGCAGGGAAACAGGAAGGGCGAGGAGAGGGAGAGAGAAAGAGAGAGAGAGCGATGGGGGTGGGTGCAGCGAGTGTGCGCAAAGGCAACAGCCTAGGGAACGCGCTAGGCTTCATTTGAGAGGCGCGCTGCACCGCGGCTGCCAGGGACTGCGGAGCTGGGGGGTGGGCAGAGAGTGGGGGGCGCTGCTGGCGGGGGTGGGGTGGGGGCGGCTGCTGCTGGGACCTTTGATTGTGCAGGCGGTGGGGGAGAGCGGCGGAGACCCCGAGGCTAGAGGCCTCTTCCCACATGACATTGTTCCTCGTTGCGGGAAGTCCAGTCAGGACCGCCGATTGTTGTAAAAAGTCAGGGCGTGGGCCGCGCCATCAGGGTCTTGCAATTGTGAAGCCCAAATGTCAATCCGGTGCAGGGTGGCGGCTCCCCAGAACCTCCACGTCAGATAAGCAGTTGTCCCAGGCCTCCAGGTCGGAGACCTGAGCTGTCCCCAGGCCTTGCTTCTCTAACCCCACTATCTTTGTCCGGGGGTTCCAGGAGGGGCTGAGACCAGACGGGTCCCTATCAGTTAAGATTACCCAGGGGACCCCGCCATCTGCTGGCCTTCCATGCCAAGCCGGCCCAGGCCCAACAGAGACCAGCTGGGGCAGTAGGCCCCACCGGGAGGCGAGCGGTCCCTGGGCGCGCACACCCGGGTGTGCGGGGCAGGGCCTTGGCTGCACACGCCTCCGCGGCGGCCCCGGCGTCTGCTGCTGCCCTGGGGTTTTCCGGGGTCTGTGGGGGAGCCCCCCCTGGGGGTTCTCCCTCCCCCCTTTTGCCTCGCTGCCAGCTTCCCGGGAGTCTGCCCCTCACCCAGCCTCCCCGGGCCGGCGGGGCCGTGCCTTTTTCTCTTCGGAGGGGCGTCCTCCGCTTTTTAGGCGGCCCGCGCTCTGTGCCCCCGTGGGGGCCCACCTTTCCCTCCACCCGA